TTCCAGAATTCTCCAGCCAGCTATAGCTGGCTGGAGAATTCTGGAAGTCAAAGTCCACAAATCTTAAAAGTGGCCAAGTTTGGAGACCTCTGCCATAAGGGATGCACCTTAATGCAGCCTCTTTACACCTGTTGTAATTCGTGGCAGGAATCTTAACGCCTTTTTCTTTTCGTCCCCCGTCCCCCCCTTGGCTCCCTACGCAGCATCGACACTCCCGGCGTGATCAGCCGCGTCTCTCAGCTCTTCAAAGGCCACCCCGATTTGATCATGGGTTTCAACACCTTCCTGCCTCCCGGCTACAAAATCGAAGTCCAGACCAACGACATGGTGAATGTAACCACCCCGGGGCAGGTGCACCAAATCCCGGCCCACGGTCTCCAGCCGCAGCCACAGCCACAGCCCCAGCACCCGTCTCAACCTTCGGCACAATCAGCTCCCACCCCAGCGCAGCCGGCCCCGCAGCCCCCACCCGCCAAGATCAGCAAGGTGAGCGCAGGTGAAAGAGAGGCGGGCTTTTTGCTTAGGAACCGGAGGGTGGGGGGGGGAGGAGATGGGCGGGCCATGAACACGACAGCTTCCGGGTATTTAGAGGGCCTCTTGAAGGACAGGGCGGAGTTTCCAAAACAGCTGGAAGATTGGTGGTGGCCCAGTGGTTAGAATGCAGTGCTGCAGGCTACTTCTGCTTACTGCCAGCTGCCTGTAGTTCGATCCTGATTGGCCAGGGCAGACTCAGCCTTCCATCCTTCCGAGGTTGGTAAAATGAGGACCCAGATTGTTGGTGGCGATAGGCTGACTCTGTAAACCGCTTGGAGAGGGCTGGACAGCATTGTGAAGCGGTATAGAAGTCTTAAGTGCTATTGCTAGTTTGTTTCTTTCCTTCCTTCCTTCCTTCCTTCCTTCCTTCCTTCCTTACTTACTTACTTACTTACTTACTTGCTTGCTTAATGGCTCAATGGTTAGAATGCAGCATTGCAGGCTGACTCTGCCCACTGATCTTAAGTATGAGGACCTCTCCTAAGGCAATTTTTTTTCCGTATCTTTGAAACTTTGAACGGATAGTGAACCTTCCTCGGTCGTAACTCGAGGACTAGACCCCCCTCTGGCCTGAAGCCATCCCTAATCCTTTCGCTCTGCTCCTTTCAGCCCTCCCAACTACAGGCCCATACGCCCACCAGCCAGCAAACTCCTCCGGTCCCCTACACCTCCCCTCGCTCTCCGCCGGTCCAGCCCCACACGCCCGTGACAATCTCCCTGGGGGCCACCCCGTCCCTCCAGAACAATCAGCCCGTGGAGTTCAACCATGCCATCAATTACGTCAACAAGATCAAGAACCGTTTTCAAGGGCAGCCGGACATTTACAAGGCTTTTTTGGAGATTCTCCACACCTATCAGGTGAGTCAGCCGGCCAGCCCTTCCTTCGGAGGTTGGCTCTGCTGTGAATTTGGGGACTTGGGCAGAAGGAGGATTTGGGGGGCGAAGATTTTGTTTTGTTGATGGGTGTTGGGACAGAGGATCAGGCCTGCAGGCGTTAAAATCATTGGCATTTGCCTCTCTGGGTTTGTTGCAAGAGGGTATTCTGTCCTAGGCCTCCCCAAAAGCAATAAGTCCATTCTGAACCCTGTCAAAAAACCTCTTTTATTACATTAATGTGAATTTATTTCACTCACAGTCGGCCCACGGCTTGGCAAACAGTCTTGCAAAGCTATACTAATTAGCTCAGACGTTTATCCATCCTGGAACGCTGCCCGGTAAATTCCACACTCATTGTTGACAGGGAAGGCTGGGTTATACAGGCAAATCTTCACAAGGCTGGAATGAAGGAACGACCGAACAAGCAAGTTGTTTCCCGCAAAAGGCCCCTCCCCTTTTGCTCCTCCTTTAATCCTGATGGGAGGGGCCATTCATCGCCCACCTGTGGCCTTACTCCCACGTCGACCCTGAGTTCTTAATTGCGCCTTTCTTTTGGCAGCTCAGTGCATGCGCAGGCGGGGAACCGGTTCCAGAAGCTCCCCCGCCTCGCTGCTGTCCGAGCCCGAAGGCAGCTGATGACTGCCAGCCTGCCCTGGCCCCATCTCGGCCTCTGATGCAGAGCCCTCGTCCGAGCCTTCCTCAGCCTCCAGGAATGGCCCGGGTTCCTCCCCGAGCTTTTCGCTATTGCCCAACTCTGCTGCCAGTCACTAAGTGTGAAAAACTGAAATTGAGGCAGGTAGAGCTAGGGAGAGGTGATTCTTGGTGACCATTTTGGGCCTGGCATCCGTGCTCCTTGGGGCTCTCTAACCTTGGTTTGTTTCCTTGCAGACGTTTCATGATCCTTACTAGGCAACATCGTCCATGCTAGCCTACCATTGGCGTGCTGCCTGAAGCGTTTGACACCCATATCAAGTGAAGGAGCATCTTTGTAGCTCAGGGTTGACCTGAGGGGGTCCTTGGTGCTCTCTGAACTTGGCTTCTTTTCTTGCAGACGTTTCATGACCCAACTAGGCAACACCCATCAATGCTAGTGAGAGAGCACCAAGAGAGACCCCACATTTCAACCCCGAGCTACAACTATTCTTCTTTATTGGTGCCTCCACTGTCTCTTTCAGCCCGTCCCTTGCTACTCTTCTTTTCAAATCTCCAGCTGGGTGTCCATTTTTATTTATTTATTTGTTTTAAAAAAAGATTATTTTGTTTTTTATTTTTAAACAAACATACACAAACAAAACAGAAAACAGAAAACCATCTTCCAGTTGCATACAGTGTGCCGGTTAGTTACAAGTCTTTTGTGCTTCATCTCTATAGTCCTGAATTATAGTTTGTATACATTCTCATATTATCCATCGTGTGTGTGTGTGTGTGTATTATCATTGTTAATCATTTATTTGACTATAACTATAATCATTTTATGCGAGATATTCAACATTTTAGATTAATTTATATGATAACATTCATTACCTCATCATAAATCCATCCGATAATAATACATCCTTATGTTATAGTCTCTTTGGTTCTATTACCCTTATATTATAAAAATTATCTGAAATATTTCATTTCCATATTTTTTTTATCTAGCCATTGATAAAGTAAATCCCATTTTTTAATTTATTTATTCTTTTTGAGGCTGAGCAAAAATGGGCAAGGGCAGCTGTTCAAAGTTGCCATTGTGTTTTTTTTTCTTTCCTACTTCTCCGTCGTCGTCGTCGTCTTCTTCTTGAACCTTCTCCTCTCTCTCTCCTCTAACAGAAAGAGCAGCGAAATGCCAAGGAGGCCGGTGGGAACTACACCCCAGCGTTGACCGAACAGGAAGTCTATGCCCAGGTGGCGCGCCTCTTCAAGAACCAGGAGGACCTGCTCTCCGAATTCGGGCAGTTCTTGCCCGATGCCAATAGCTCCGTTGTGAGTGACTTCGAATTCGTCGCCTCGCCTTTACTTCCGGGTTTTCGGCAAAAAAGCCACCACCAGAGTGAACCAGGGGTTCATTTAACAGCTGAGGTGTTTGTTTAGCGACCGCTGCAACAACAACAACAAAAAAGATCGTAAAATTGGGCCGGTCACATGAGTCACCCAATTTGGACCATGACGAGTTTTATTTAATTTAATTTTATTATGATTACTATTAGGAGTCCGTGGTGCTCTCTCTGTGCTGGCTTGTTTCCTTGCAAGCGTTTCATGACCCAACTAGGTGTAACAACGTCGGTACTGGTGGTGTTAGCACTGAGGAGGTTACCTAGTTTGGGTCATGAAATGCTTGCAAGGAAACAAGCTCGGAGAGCACCCAAGGACCCCTCCTGTCAACCCTGAGCTACAAATATTCTCCTTTATTAGTGTTTTATTACATTGGTAAAATGTGTCAGTGCTCATCTTACCAAAAGGTAACTGGGCAACTTACGGTCATAGTTTTATATATGTCCATATACATATACACATTAAATCGTAAACTTAAACCAAAGACCATGTGGGGGGAGTCTGGGCAGAGTGGGGGGGCAGGAGGTGGGATCCGTGATGACTCAATCCACCAGCTGCGTTGTGCTGCTTCCCCATGGGGCCAACTGGCAGGTCCAGGTCTTTAGGCCTTACAAAAGGACAGGAGGGTTGGGGCCAACCTCACATGGGGGGGAGGGGCCACAGCAGAGGAGCCCCCCCCCCACCTCCTGGACCGCCCCAGCTGGAATAATCGAGCTGGTGGGACCCATAGCACGCCTCTTCTGCCAGCACGAGTAGGGCAAGGGCAATTCCAGTGGGGTGAGACTTGATCCCTCAAGTAACCTGGACCCACGGTTACAAAACTGGCACGGGCCAGCTTCTTTTACAGTCGTAACTCAAGGACTCCTGTCTGTAGATGAGCAGAACAAGACCTCGGGGTCAAAAACCGCTTTGACCTCCGGATGGCCTGGGTTCATCGCCTCTTAACCGGCTGGTTCTTGCGAAGCATTTTTGCCTGTTCTCAGCCACGGGGGGGGGGGGGGGGGGGGCCCTCAGTGGACTGACTTGTGGTTCTTTCCGATCAGCTTCTGAGCAAGACCACTGCGGAGAAAGTGGAGTCGGTGAGAAACGACCACGGAGGGACCATCAAGAAGCCCCAGCTGAACAGCAAGCAGCAGAGGCCCAATCAGAACGGCTGTCAAATCCGGAGGCATGCCACCTCGGGGGTCACCCCGCCAGTGAAGGCAAGACTACCCCCCCCTTACCCCTTTCGTCTCAAGGCCACAGTTGGTGGTAATTGCACAGTGTGGTTGTTGTTAGTTGCCAAGTCGTGTCCAACCCATCGCAACCCCGTGGACAACGTTCCTCCAGGCCTTCCTGTCCTCTACCATCTTCTGGAGTCCATTCAAGCTCACGCCGACTGCTTTAGTGACTCCATCCAGCCACCTCCTTCTCTGCCGTCCCCTTCTTCTTCGTCTTTTGCCCTCCATCGTTCCCAGCATTCGGCTCTTCTTCTCCAGGGAGTCCTTCCTTCCTTCCTTCTCATGAGGTGGCCAAAGTCTTTGAGTTTCATCTTCAGGATCTGGCCTTCTCAAGAGCAGTCAGGGTGGATCTCCTCTAGGATTGACCAGTTGGATGGCCTTGCAGTCCAAGGAGTCTTCTCCAGCCCCAGAGTTCAAAGGCCTCCATTCTTTTGGCGCTCAGCCTTCCTTATGGTCCAACTTTCACAGCCCTACCTTGCCACTGGGAAAACCATCGCCTTGACTCTACGCCTTTTGGTTGGCAGGGGGATGTCTCTGCTTTTTAGTAGGCTGTCCAGATTGCACACTGCTTGAATATAACACCTTAGCAAATGAAAACAATATACTACGTCCTGATTTTTCCCAATAATAATATAGCACTTTAATTTTAGGAACTAGTTAAGAACACGCAAGGGATCCCTAACCCTATAAAAGCAGTATTTTCTACAGCACTTTCACGTTTTATCAATGTTACTGAGTTAAAAATTTCAGTGGGCCAGACTGCACTATGTGAGGCACAACAGAAATTTAATTGCTAATACTTCAGGTCTGGTCTGGCCCCTGGAAAAAAGGATAGGTAGAACCCTGAGCCAACTAGGGTACTACTGAACTACAACAACCGTTTCTTATTAGTTCCATGTTCAGCCTGCCTAGAGTAATAATCTAATTTTGAATGGATTGCTTAATTATTCCATAACTAAAGAAAGGGTGCAGAGAACTATAACCTCTGTTGTTCGTAGGTTGTGTTTGCTTCTGAGTCCCTTAATTCGGGAGTCTTCAACCTTGGCAATTATTAAAACTTGTGGACTTGAACTCCCAGAATTCCTCAGCCAGCATAGAATTCTGGGAGCTGAAGTTCACAAGTCGTAAAGTTGCCAAAGTTGGAGACCCTTGCCTTAATTAATGCTTGTCCTATCACAGTATCGATACCATGCCATGATTCCTTTCCTGTTGTTTTAACTGCATGCTGGCTCAGCAAATTTAAAATGTGTCGTGGTAGATAATTGTTTATTTATTTGTGTGTGTGTGTGTGTGTGTGCTTCCTCTCTGCAGAAGAAACCAAAGCTGCTCAATTTGAAGGACCCATCCTTTGCAGAAGCTGGCAAACATGGGACAGAGTCATTGTTCTTTGACAAGGTAAGAGACATGATAAACCATGTCCATTTTATCCCCATCTGCGTTAATGGGGAATAGGAACGGCGCAACACAGGCACCCTCAACGGACAACTTTAGCAACTGTCCCAAGTTACAAGAGGATTGGGAAAAGGGACTTGCAACCAGACCCTTGCTCCTTCCCAGGTTGCCCCATCCTCACAATCACAGGATCAAAATCGGGGTATGTGGCAGCCGGTGTGTATTCACCCTGGTTTGCAGTTTCCCGGGGGTCCCCCTTTGCCACCTTCTCAGCCGGCTTCCAACAAGCCTTAATAGGGGAAGCCCGATTAATGGTCATGGCAAAAGAGGTCACAACGTTGGGCGTGACTTCACTTAACAACTGCCTTGCTTGGCAAAGGAAATTCTGGTCTCAGTGGTTGTAACTCGAGGATCATTCATAAGAGAGAAAGTTGAGTTTATTGTTTCTATATGACAATTTTTCTGCCGCTCAACGGATACTGCTTGTAGGGGAATCACCTGAGGTCCACAAGGAATTATAGTTTGGGTCCTGGGGAATTCCTCCTCACCCTGGAATGAATATTCCCATTTCCCAGCTCCCTCTTATGTCGTGGCTGTTGGTCGATGAGCTTAGAATCGTGCTAATGGGAGAGGATTAAATGGTTCCTTTGCAGGAGAGCCCCCCTCTTCTCTTTTCCAACTTTCTCGTCCTTCTTTTTCCTCTTCCCGCTCCACCTTTCAGGTCCGCAAAGCACTGCGCAGCACGGAGGCCTACGAAAATTTCCTCCGGTGCCTCGTCATTTTCAATCAGGAGGTCATATCCCGAGCCGAGCTTGTACAGCTGGTTTCTCCATTTCTGGGGTAAGCAGACTTAAGCAACTGACCCTTTTAGCGTCCTCCCTTGTGGGACAGACGCCATAACGTTGAAGAGTTGAAAATAAGCCTCCTAAGGTTGCTCGGATAGGGAAACGGTGGAGGAAGTAAATTTAATAAATGAAATAATACGTAAATTAACCAGGGAGAGAGCATCGTGTGTGTTCCATCTGCTAACCAGCTCTGAGTTCAAGGAGTACAGAGATACACCTGCCTCAATTACTGGCAAAGTCTAGCGGCCCTGTGGTACCAGCATAGCGAATTTCACCACAAAAGGTGCAGGAGGAAAGTTTTAAATAAGCAGCAAGTTGATCTTTCCCCCCGTATGAGATGATTAGCGGATTATTAAAACTTTAAACCTTAACTAAGAAGTGTGAAAAAAATCTCTCTGCCACAGCAGCGCCGCTGATGTAGTTGTGTTCTGTTTGTGTTGGTTTTGGTTTCGTCCTTTTCAGAAAATTCCCGGAGTTGTTCACTTGGTTTAAAAACTTCCTGGGTTACAAAGAATCCTCACACCTGGAGAGCTTCCCAAAGGAGCGAGCTACCGAGGGGATAGCGATGGAGATAGACTACGCCACTTGCAAACGGCTGGGCTCCAGTTACCGAGCCTTGCCCAAAAGTTACCAGCAGCCCAAATGCACAGGTCGGACGCCGTTGTGCAAGGAGGTAAGCTGGCCATCTTCTGCCCCTTCGGGAGGTGGGCGCTCCCGAAACCCTAGCAAGAGTCTCGGGGCCTCCAGAGTCTCCCATTACCCACCCCCACCCCACCCCTCAATAATTATAGGTAATCTTTGGCTTATGATAGTAGTTGGGGACTGGAATTGCTTTAACTAAGCGGCACAGTCCCAAAGAGCAACCTCATTGGACCATGCGGTTTAGCCTAGAAGTTACAGCAGCCCTGGTTGTGTGGACTTAACGCAAGGACCTCACCTGACTGCCACTTCTGATTTCCTGCCGTCTTCCCCATTGGCTTTGTGGGAAGCCAGCAGGGAATGCCAAATCTTGATTTTTAAAGCCTGGCCCTTCATAAAATAATGTATGCTACTACGTGTACGTTTGAAGTGACAATAAAGTTGTTCTAAGTTCATAGTATTCCTGTGGCATCTCGGCATGAGTCCCTTTTCCACCCACAAGGGGGCACCCTTGGACAGCTGACCAGTCTCTTGTGACTGGACTACTCTTGTGACTGGACCAGCAGTATCCTCTTGGCAGTCCAATATGCCTTTTTTCCCATAGCTGCTAGAATAACGTTTTATCTTATTGACAGTAACTTCCTTCCTTCCTTCCTCTCTCCCTCCTTTCCTTCCTTTCTTCTTTCCCTTCCTTCCTTCCTCTCTCTCCTTCCTTTCTTTCTTCTTTTCCTTCCTTTCTCTCTTTCCTTTCTTCCTCTCTCTCTCTCTCTCCTTCCTTCTTTCCTTCCTTCCTCTCTCTCTCCTTCCTTCCTTTCTTCTTTCCCTTCCCTTCCTTCCTTCCTTTCTTTCTTCTTTCCCTTCCTTCCTTTCTCTCTCTTTCCTTTCTTCCTCTCTCTCTCCTTCCTTCCTTTCTCTCTCTCCTTCCTTCCTTTCTTCTTTCCCTTCCTTCCTTCCTCTCTTTCCTTCCCTTCTTTCTTCCTTCTTTCCCTTCCTTCCTTTCTCTCTCTTTCCTTTCTTCCTCTCTCTCTCCTTCCTTCCTTTCTCTCTCTCTCTCTCCTTCCTTTCTTCTTTCCCTTCCTTCCTTCCTTCCTCTCTCTCTCTCTCTCTCTTTCCTTCCTTCCTTCCTTCCTTCCTTCCTTCCTTCCTTCCTTCCTTCCTTCCTTCCTTCCTTTCCCCGCTTCTCAGGTTTTGAACGATACCTGGGTCTCCTTCCCTTCCTGGTCCGAAGATTCTACGTTTGTGAGCTCGAAGAAAACTCAGTACGAAGAACACATCTACCGATGTGAGGACGAACGGTTCGAGGTAGGTCAAGACAGGCCTTAAATTTCCCCCGGGGCAAAAATCAGGAACTTTGCTCAGGTGGCAAATGATGGAAGTGTCACACGACTGGAAGAATCAGCCTCAAGGCAGCGTTTCCCAATTTGACAGTCTTTCCCAACCACAAGGAGTCCTTGGCATTTCCGTTGCTAAGTGAAATAGTGAAGTGAACTTTGCCCTGCTGGGTGGCTTTTCTTGCCGTAGTTGCTAAGTGAATCACTGCTGTTGAGTCAGTCACGCGGCTGTTCAGCGAATCCGGCTTCCCCTCATTGACCTGCCTTGTCAGGAGGTTTGCAAAAGGAAATCGCGTGGCCCCGGGACACCTGCAGCCTTCGTAAATACGGGGCCAGTTGCTTAGCGTCTAAATTTTGATCCTGTGACCATGGAGAGGCCCACATGGCCGTAAGTGTGAAAAGGGGTCATAAGTCGCTTTTCCCAGTGGTGTTGTCACTTAGAACAGTCGCTAAATGAAAAGTTTGTAGATCCACCTGTGTAAATCCCACTTGGGAAGTTGAGAGTCAGCCTTTCTAGCCATTGCTGTGGAATTTCCCAATTCAGATGTCCTCATCCAGGGGATGGTTGTCCCAAAGGTGCTTTTTCTCCAAGAGGCAACTGGACTTTCTTTGTTTGTCTTTGAAAGCATTTCGCTTCTCATCCAAGAAGCTGCTTCAGCTCTGACTGGATGGTGGGGAATGGAAGGATTTCTATACTCCTTGCAGACAGCCGGTCATTTGCATCCTTTCAGAGAGAGTCCTTGGGGCCACTTGGAGGTTTCTCGGTGTCCTCAGGGCCACCTGAGGGGTGCAAATGGGTGTGAAGCCTCCTTGGAACTGCTGGAAGGACTGTTGTGGAGCTGTGCTACACCCATTTGCACCCCTCAGGTGGCCCTGAGGACACCGAGAAACCTCCAAGTGGCCTCAAGGACTCTCTCTAAAAAGGATGCAAATGACCAGCTGTCTGCAAGGAGTATAGATCCTTCCATTCCCCATCATCCAGTCAGAGCTGAAGAAGCTTCTTGGATGAGAAGCAAAATGCTTTCAAAGAAAAACAAAGAAAGTCCAGTTGCCCCTTGGGGGGAAAAAAATCGCCTTTGGGTCCCAATTCAGATGTCAACTTGCATGATGAGCTCCCTTCCTTAGCCTAGCTGAATGAGCTTCTCCTTTTCCAGCTGGATGTGGTCTTGGAGACCAACCTAGCCACCATCCGAGTCTTGGAAACGATACAGAAGAAGCTCTCCCGCTTATCGGCGGAAGAGCAAGCCAAATTCCGCCTGGACAACACCTTGGGGGGCTCCTCCGAAGTCATCCACCGCAAAGCTCTCCAGAGGATATATGCGGACAAAGCTGCCGACATCATCGACGGCCTCCGGAAAAACCCAGCCGTTGCCGTGCCCATTGTCCTGAAAAGGTATCCGGTCACTGGGGAAACAAAAGAGGAGTGTTCGGATGGAGTATAAAAAAACGATGTTGAAAGGTTGCGGTGTCGAAAGAAAAAAAAAACAACAACGCTAGGGAAGCTTTGAGGTACTTGAGGTCTGGAATCATCTAGGGTAACTTGACACATCTCACCTGGAAAAGAACTTTGGGGAAAGCTCTTGGGGTTGGGGAGGTGGATGTGGGGTGGGCTGAGCCTCCTGACCTCCAAATTCAAAGCTACAGGTGCCTGTTGAGAAAGACTTAGGAGCCCTTACATCTGGCTAAGAATTAATAGAATTTATCATCTAGCGTGTTTAGTCATCTTGATTCCAGAGGAACTGAGACTTTCCTAACTATCCCAAAGCAAATGTGCCTCTAAAACAGTGTTTCTCAACCTCTGGATGGCTTCAGCCTACATCTACGCATCTTAAAAAGTTGCCAGGTTGAGAAACGCCGATCCAAACCATGGCTTGATAACTGAGAAGGCCGGCATTGGCTGGTTTCTTCAACCTGGAATCTTCAGATAACGTCAGCCTTGCCGGTTGAGAATAAGATCAGTTGTGATGCTTACACATCTGGCTGGTGCCGAATTCATACAGCTGGATTTTAGGCACACCTGTTGGGCCCTGGCCCTATTTCTGTAGGTCTCAGGAGCCAGAACTCAACTGGTGAATCTCGCAACTCACCTGGGAGAATTACGTTAAAAGTTCTCCTTTCCAGCTCCATTCTACTGGGATTTGATTTATACTAGAAATAGCCATTCTGGTGCAGGGAAGGGATGGGAAGAATGGGTAGAAATGAACTTCTCCAGTTACCCAGGAAAGGAGACCACAAGAACACGGTGAGGGCATGCTTTCATATTGCCGGATTTCCCCCCCCCCCTCCCCCAAATCTGTCAGGTGGAATATGATCGATCCACCAGATGTCCTAAACCAAGAGATCTCTCTTCTCACATGCTCTCTTCTTCGTCTTCTGGCTTAGGTTGAAAATGAAAGAAGAGGAATGGCGGGAAGCCCAGAGGGGATTCAACAAAGTGTGGCGGGAACAAAACGAGAAGTACTATTTGAAATCCCTGGACCATCAAGGCATCAACTTCAAGCAGAACGACACCAAGGTCTTGCGATCCAAGAGCCTGCTCAGCGAGATTGAGACCATTTATGACGAGGTACGTTGAAAGATGTCACCAAGCGTTTCTTCCGTCGTAACTTTCAGATAACGGGGGCTTGGAGAACACGGAAGAACATCCTAGAGCGGTGGGGGATAAGGTTTTCAGGTTCTCCTTTTGCTTGGGGACAGTTGAGGGAAGCCGTAGAACATCTTGTAGAAAGAGGTTGTCCTTCGTCAGCAGCAATTTGTAGCTAGAGAGGGAGGGGGAGAGAGAGAGACAGATGAATAGACAAAAGAGGGAGAGAGAGGCAGAAAGAGAGGGAAAGATAGACACAAAGATGGGGAGGGAGAGAATGAAAGAGAGAGACAGAGAAATAGATAAAGGGTGGGGAGGAAGAGAGAGGCAGAAAGAAAGGGAAAGAGATAAATAGACAAAGACGGGGAGGGAGAGAATGAGAGAGAGAGAGAGAGAAATAAAAGGGGGGAGAGGAAGAGAGGCAGAAAGGGAAAAAGAAAAAGAGACACAAAGATGGGGAGGAAGAGAATGAATGAGAGAGAGATAAATAGACAAAGGGCGGGGAGGAAGAGAGAGGCAGAGAAAGGGAAAGAGATAAATAGACAGAAAGACGGGGAGGGAGAGAATGAGAGAGAGAGAGAGATAAATAAAAGGGGGGAGAGGAAGAGAGGCAGAAAGAGAGGGAAAGATAAATAGACACA